GGAACCTACTGTCTTTCGATGGTATTTTTCAGCTGGTTGCACGAGCATGATTTGGTCGCGATATATATATATTTTTTCGCGCTACAACATTGGATTATTCAATGCATGCTGATGAACTTTTATCATAGTTTATAGTTATATGGAAACGAAAGTTTTTAACATTGAAACCCGTTCTTTATCATCAGTAGTATTATTTGTAATTTGAGTTTTGTGAATGGGAGTTTCTCTTTTGCTTCGGATGCTTTCACTTTCGAATTCGCGATCTTGTTGTCACTGTTTTGCTTACATACATCTACACACCTTTCGTTTTTTAAGACTAAAACAAAAGATGGATTCATTGTTATTCTTAATTAAAAAGCACAACAACAATAAATCAGTAAGATACAATGACAAACTAGCTTACAAAACGTTTATTAACAAAAACGAATAAGATGAGGCATGGCACACACCACATGCTGTATTATATACCGACTAATAAATTACAGAACGTTTAGCAAACACTGAGGAATCAAATAAATAAATAAATAAAAGAGAGCCTCCATAACTCAAAGTGCGACCGCACACAAAATTTAGTCGCACAGGCAGAAAAAATGGTCGCAGTCTGGAGCCCTGCATATTAAAGTTCATAAGTGCAGTGCTGCTTTGTTTACAGCGGAAACCAAGGAAACGTGTTAAGCGCCACCTGCTGGCAGAGAGTGAATCTGCCTCTCATTCAGCTCGTCTGCTGTTTCTGTTTCACGCAGATATTTTTATGCATAGTTTCACAAAACTGAAGTCAAACCATTCTGTTTTTGCTTCAAATTTATATTTATATATATTTTACTATATATTTGTTTAAATAAATGCAGCACTGGTGAGCATAAGAGACTTCTTTCAAAAACATAAAATCTTACTGACTGCAGACTTTTGAACAGTAGTACATGTTTTTACTTTGCACCAGTACTGGAATGTTCCAGAGCTCTGGATTTAGTGTATTTAGTAACTTAAAATGTGTCATAAGCCCCTTTCACACATACAGACTTTACTGTTAAATTACCGGTAAATTGCCGTAAAGCGATCATGTGTGAACAGGTCCTTTTTAAAATTACCGGTAAATTTTGTTCCATCAATTTAGTTGGAGGAGAAAATTAGATGGGAGTTTTTCGACATACCCTAACTGTCATGAACCGGAAAACACAGAGTTCACGCAGAGCTAGTAGACAAGAAACGCGTTTGAGGTTAAAAAGCAGTGGTGGACGAAGTACACAAATCAAGTACTTGAGTAAAAGTACAGATCCATATAATAACATTTTACTCCAGTAAAAGTAAAAGTACTCCGTTTTCAATTTTACTCGAGTGTAAGTACAAAAGTACTCGATTTTTTATGTACTTAAGTAAAAAGTACCGATAGATGAATGTTTATTTTGCAGTTTTATATAGAAAATAATAATCGTGAATCGAATCGAATCGTGAGTTGAGTGAATCGTTACATCCCTAACAAGTATGCATTAAATTGATCAAAGCAAAGACATTTATAATGTTACCAGATTTCAAATAAATGCTGTTTTATTGGTTTCCACAAAAAATATTAAGCAGCACAACTGTTTTCAAAATTGATAATAATATCACATCCTTTCTTTTTCCCTCAGATGTAATCTATCTAGGTGGTTGAATAAAAATACTTGGACTTTATTTTTTTAATTAGCTCGTTAGCTAGACAGTTAGCATCAGGTAACATTATTGATTTATTTTCAGCATGGTTATGAAGAAACATTTATATTTGTCTACTTGGCTAGTTATTTAGCAGCATCAGACACGCGCGCGCTCACAAGATCTCCCGGTTCTTACCTGTGAGTTCAGTTCACTGGAGACTCACACTAAACGGTTCATTTGAATCAGTGAGTTGTCGACTCGAGAACAGCTGCAATCGGTTCATTCTAATTACACTAAACGGTTCATTTGAATCAGTGAGTTGTCGACTCGAGAACAGCTGCAATCGGATCATTCCAATTTGGGAATGAATCGTTTGGTGCGATTTGCAAACCGATTTAACGGGTTCATTGAAAAGTATCAGTTCGTTCATGAATCAGACACCGCTTCTGCGTCTCGGAACACATGATATATAATAAGGAGTAACGATAAGTTTTATGAAATGTAGTGAAGTAAAAACTACGATCTTATGCTTTGGAATGTAGTGAAGTAAAAGTAAAAGTTACTCAAAATAAAACTACTCCAGTAAAGTACAGATACTTGAAAAATGTACTTAAGTACAGTAACGAAGTAAAACTACTTTGTTACTGTCCACCACTGTTAAAAATTAAGTTAATAATTTTTATAAAATAACTGATCGTTTCACTAGATAAGACCCTTCTTCCTCGGCTGGGATCATTTAGAGCCCTTTGATGCTGCATTTAAATTGCATTTTGGAAGTTCAAACTCAGTGTTCTCACCATAGAAGTCCATTATATGGAGAGAAATCCTGAAATGTTTTCCTCAAAAAAACAGAATTTCTTTACGACTGAAGAAAGAAAGACATGAACATCTTGGATGACAAGGGGGTGAGTATATTATCTGTAAATTTTTGTTCTGGAAGTGAACTACTCCTTTAAGCCCTGATCAGACAGAACGCATTTTTCAGGTTTGAAAACACGAGGCGCACCGCACTGCCGTTTTTTTTGTTGGGTTTTATTAATTTAGAAATGAGCAGTGCGCTACGGTTTGTTTATGTTGCTAGGCAACCACCGATTCAGCTGTCCTGTCAGTCTAATCAAGGATTATAGCGCGAGCGCTCTAAAATCTTTGGTTTGCTGTTAAGTAAACTGTCATATTAGCAGAAACCTTAAAAAAATACAGCTCCGGGTAACCCACGACAGCCACCACAAGTTTCTCCTCCATCATTGCAGTGTCCGGACTTTCCAAGCAACTGTAAACTTTCGTCACCACAACAGAAGGCCCGCCTCTCCATTCATTCGATTGGACAATGGAAAAAAAAACGCGAATGGTGTCTGGTGCTATTCTGCTCAGAGTTGCTTTTTTTTCAACTTCAGGCACTCAGAGCACTCCTACAAAAACGCGAGGCACAGCAGGCGGCTAAAATGCGAGGTGCCCGGGGCATATAAACAGCGCGCAAAATGCTCACTGCCAATAGAAAACAATTTTAAAAATCACCTTTCACTGCAAAAAACGTGTTCTGTCTTATCGAGGCCTTACGATGTCTCTGGGCCAAAAGCAGCTGCATGAATGTGAACGTTTGACACAAAAATGAAAACATAAAAAAAACAACAACAACACTGATTGCGTTTACCCCTCTATGTTTTCAAACACAACACCAGGAGTCGCAGCCGTTTAGAGGTAATTTCTGGTTAATGACCTCACAGAATTTACCTGTATTTTGAAATGGATGTGTGAATGGTGCTTTACCAGTAAAAAGACGGAACGTCGTTGCCTGTGTGAACAGTGCATTTGAGAATTTACCGGTAAAGTCATTCCGGTAATTTTACGGCAATTTACTGGTATAACTGTGTGAAAGGGGCTTATAGATGTTAATATTTGCTCATAATGTGATATACTGAGTAATCAAATGGCTGTTCTGCTCAAATGGCTCAAATGTTCTGCGAGATGGTGCAAATATTTGAGTAGCTGTGTTATTTTCATTTATACTTAATTTATTAATTTCAGAAACCTTCTATTTGTCCAGTGTTAACCCATAGATGACCATTGGATTTGTGATGGGTTGACTGTAGATGATGACGGTAATGCTGGGAAAGAGATCTGGGCTGATGGGGACATTGGGTTGTGGTGTGTGTGCTGCATCCCAAAGGGAGTGTTGAGTTGCTCTCTGCATTGGCATTCTGCAGCAGTGTCCAAAAACATAATACTGCTTTGCCCCTCCCGTCCCCTGCCTTTTTCTACCACATCATGTTTTTTTTGCTCTGTGTGATTAACAGAGAGGCAGTAAAGGTCAGCCGTCTTCAAAACGATGGTGTGTTCGGCTGTCAGAGCACAGCTGCATGTCCATTGCTCTATGAACCCATTTGTTGTTCATTTTAATCCATTTATAGGCTGAAAAATGTGGAAGAAGTCTTGTTCATGATGACACAACTTCTATATTGTAAAAATGGAGATTGAACCATAGGCATATGTAGATGAGCGTATATGGGTTTTTCTTCAGTTAGCTGCACTTTTGGGGGCATTTATATCACTATCGGATAGGATATGCACACTATTCTCTTTACACTTGACTATATATACACTACCATTCAAAGGTTTGGGTCTATGGGATCATTTTCCCGCCAAATGTATTGCAGTCGCAGATAAAAAAATAACAAGTGTGAAACCAAAATTTAGAAACGCAAGTAAAATTATATTGCACAAAATTTAAAAATGAAAGCAAAGTTTTCAGAATAGCAAACAATGGTCACGGATCAAAAAATAATAAGTGTAAATCAAAAATGTAATAACGTATTAAAAAAAATAATAAGCAAGAATCAAAACTTTAAACACATTTAAAATCATATTGCACAAAACTGAAATATTAATGCAAAATTATCCGAATTGCACACAAAATCATGTTTCCTTGGTTATATTTCTCTGTTTTTTGTGCTCTCAGACATTTTCTGCACATATTTTTCCCTTCGCACTTGTTTCCACGTTCTGCGCTTCTTCTTCCAAATGTTGCGGTTAGAGTTTCATGTAAATCAGGGCGGGCTTAAGCGTCATCATTGGTCCACTAGTTCTAGATTAACAGCTCCTCTAGCCAATCAGTCGAATCAGTTGATCTGTGACCATTGTTTGCTATTCTGAAAACTTTGCTTTCATTTTTAAATTTTGTGCAATATATTTTTTCTTGCATTTTTACATTTTGGTTGCACACTTGTTATTTTTTTTATTCCTGACTGCAATACATTTGGCGGGAATTTGATCCCATACAGTGCCTCTGCCATTAGGATTCACTTCAGTGAGATTGTCTTCAAACGGTTGCACCATCCTGACAGCAGCTGAGCTGAAAAACATCTGCGCTGATGCCCACTATAACAGAGAGCAGCTACAGGCAAACAGAGCTTCCACAGCTAGACGTGTCTGAGTTCATGTTCAGACGTCACTCCAACGTGCCTCATTACTGCCGATGCTCAGTGTTTTGTTCACTTGTACAGGTGAAAATGGACAACTGTCGGCTGGGAAACATCTTTCCATACAGGACACCGTTATATGTGTCTGTCTGTCACTGCTGTACGCCTACCTGGCAATCCGTTAACGTTAAATGAGCCGTCCTAGCGACCTGTCGCGGTTATATTCACCTGTATTTATTCGCCTCCGGTCACATCGCGAAAGGGAGCAGCCACTAAATGCACTGGCCTCGCGAAGTGACTGATGTGCCTGGCTCGCTTTTACCTGACTGATTATAAGTCTTGTTATGGTTATTACTGTTAGGAGAGGATAATATGATAAGACCGGGGGTTTTCAAACTGGGGTCTGTGTGGTGACCCAATTTTTGCTATTCGGTATTTTCCGGACTACACATTGCATTTTTTATCTTCTGAACGTGCTATGATTTATATTCCAAAGTGACTTATACAATGCATTTAATGTCAAATAAGCAAAACGTAAACAGGTAAAAGCGGGCACTTCAAGGTTTCTATAAATATATTTCTCATTCTGTGTGACAAGTATAGTATTAGACAGTATCGCTGAGTTTTTCTTCATTTCAGGAAGAGGTTCACAGAGACGGCAAGTGCATTTTGTATGTTTTCTTTATTTTACAAAAGTACAACGTTTCACTGTTATTTTGAAGGTACACAAATAAAAAATAGACCGTTTTGAATGATGTCTTGCTCCTATCTGACGGACATCTTTCCGCTGATGTGAGTAACCCAAGTGTTCGCGCGCGCACACAACATAATCAGTTCTAGCATTGCAAACTTTACATCGCAGCCTCTTTATCATCAAAGTAAATGAGACAACTAAACATACAAAAGGTATTGGTGACTCAATTTAACTTGTCTTTTGTATAATCTGTAGGTTTTGCCGGTCACCGCGAGCATCACCATGCTGTGGGCTGGTCAGCGCGAGCATCGCCATGCCGTGGTGTTTTCCAGACAAATTTTTTGCATATGTGAAGGATGTTGTTTAAGTAGATATTCAGAAACGAGAGAAGTACAAAACCTTCTTTACAAAATAAATAGGCTAATAGTTTATCAACCAAAAGTTACACCGCGTCTAACGATTCACTCATGGAAATTAGAGGTATGTGAGCCCAGCAGGAGGTTCAGTTTTTAGTTTCGTTTTAAATGAGTTATAGGCTTAGCATTTAAAATAAATGTTGTTTGTAAAGAATGGCACTATAATTTATTTTATGACATACAGTTAAGCAAAACACGAGTTTTTTCCTAATATCAGGACCATTGCAAATGTTTATTGAACTGAATCAATATAACAAGAAGTATAATTTGAGTGAGTTTACTATTAATAATAACTATTTTCTCATTTTGCTCTATTTCGACAAAGAGTCCAAACAAAGCCGCAGCAGAACAGTGTCCTCTACAAGCAACACAGCAGCCTTTCGTATCGAATGATTCGCTTTATTCCTCACTGAATGAATCAGGCATTTGAATGAATGATTTAATGTCTAATTCTAAAGACAGTAACTTACCGCCACCTACTGGCTGTTTTACTTTCATATTGTTGTTATGTATAACTTTATGTATTTGAAACATTAATATGATAGTGTTAGGCAATTATATATGTAGCTATGCAAATAAACACAACACGCAAATAAATCATTGTGTATATCGAATCCACCTGGCCTCTGTAACTGTCTACTCTGTAGCACTATCGTTTTCAATGCAAAAACATTACATTAATTCAAAATTAATTTACTGATTTACTCATTTAACGTTAACGGATTGCCAGGTAGGCGTACGGCAGTGACAGACAGACACATATAATGGTGTCCTGTATGGAAAGATGTTTCCCAGCTGACAGTTGTCCATTTTCACCTGTACAAGTGAACAGAACACTGAGCATCGGCAGTAATGAGGCGCGTTGGAGTGACGTCACCGCCCCTCTTCATCTGATTGGCTGAGGAGGAGCTGTCAATCTACAACTACTGGACCAATGATGATGTTTTAGCCTGCCCTGATTTACATGAAACTCTAACCGCAACATTTGGAAGAATAAGCACAGAACGTGGAATAAAGAGCGAAGGGAAAACAGCATAAGCATACAAAAAATAAAAATATGTGCAGAAAATGTCTGAGAGCACAAAAAACAGAAATATAACCAAGAAAAACATGATTTTGTGTGCAATTCGGATAATTTAGCATTAATATTTCAGTTTTGTGCAATATGATTTTAAATGTGTTTAAAGTTTTGATTCGTGCTTATTATTTTTTTGAAATGCGTTATTAAATATTTTATTTACATGTATTATTTTTTGATCCGTGACCATTGTTTGCTATTCTGAAAACTTCGCTTTCATTTTTTAATTTTGTGCAATATAATTTTACTTGCGTTTTTAAATTTTGGTTTCACGCTTGTCATTTTTTATCCGAGAATGCAATACATTTGGCGGGAAAATGATCCCATACGGGTCAATAAAGAAATTACATTTTTTATTCTGCAAGGTGCATTAACTTGATCCAAAGTGACAATAAAGACATTTATAATGTTACAAAAAAAAAATGCTATCTTGAAAAAAATGTATCATGATTTCCACAAAAATATTAAGCAGCACAGCTGTATTCAACATTGATACTACTACTACTACTACTACTACTACTACTACTACTAATAATAATAATAATAATAAGAAGAAATGTTTCTTGAGCAGTAAATCAGCATTTTAGAATGATTTCTGAAGGATCATGTGACACTGAAGACTGGAATAATGATTCTGAAAATTCAGCTTTGCATCACAGGAATAAATTATATTTTAAAATATGTTCAAAGAGAAAACAGTCATTTTAAATTGTAATAATATTTTACATTAATACTGTTTTTACTATAACTGTTGACATTAGGGTTGGGCCGATAGACGATGCCATCGTCCATCGCCGATGGCTGATAGGCATCACGATGTTGAGCCGGCATCACGATCCCCCCTCCCCCCATACCCCCGCAATCTGCCGCATCCCAATACCGTGTTCCGAAAGAAAATGACGTGTGATACGGAACCCCTAAAGGGAATAAATACGCGATGGGAGGAAAATATATATTTCAGTATTTTCTCTCGCAGCGTCTGATGCCAATTTGGTAGACATCGTCCAACCCTAGTTGACATAAAGAACACTCTGAGGAGCAAAAGGCTTCAAAAGTCTTCCTTTGCTCCCCATTATCTCATTGCTGTCTAGAAGAAACAGTTAAGATTTCATTTGTGATTTTTCTCTCATCTACTACAGTATATATCACAATGTCCAAATCAGGCCCGATTCACCATACTGTTTCAGACACAGATGGTTCAGTACACTTGCAGCAGAAGAGAAAGTAAGTAAGCGAGTCCGTTGGGCAGTGTGAGTGAGTAGTGATTGTGTTTAAGGTCATTGGGAAGGTCTAGTGGTGTTGGAGATATAGCTGTTCACAGGACTCGCAGTTCACATCCTATAGCATTTCTGTCACATGGACATCGGCGGCTAAATGCACAGCCTTTAGTAACACAATAGCAGCCTAAATGGCTTTTCTGAAAGAGATCCCGCTCCGCACATTATTTATTCATACTGCTGGTCACTGCAACCTTGGGCCCCGATCAGAGAGAGAGTGAGAGAGAAGAACAAAGAGAAAAAGGGGGATTGGTATAGAAGTTTGAGATGAGGGGAGTAGAAGGAGGGGTCGTCTGGGTTTGGTTTCTGTCCTTGAGAGTGCAGTGCAGATGGATCAATACACTTCTGAAAACAGAAAGATCAGATGGCAAAAAATCACTCCACACCACATACTGATCAAGACACAAGGTCATACGACAACAGAGAGACAGAGAGCAGAAAACACAGGCCGCGGATCAGGGCCGAAACAACTATTACAACTTTTTTTTTGGAAATAAATATTTGTTTTCTTGATGCATGTGTTATAGGAACCAGAAGTTTGGGCAAGACGTATCTTATCCAGCAAACGTTATTTTCGTTATCTAACAAACTTTATTGCAGGCAGGGTTGCAGGCATCCATCCGTCCGTCCGTCCGTCCGTCCGTCTGTCTGTCTATCTATCTATCTATCTATCTATCTATCTATCTATCATCGTTCTTAAAAGTTCTGTAGGCTTTTTAAAAATCTTTTAGTAAAATAAACATATTTTGTCTTGATTTTTTTCTTATGAAAGTTACATGGATCTCCTTGACTTTCATTTCTCATTGAATTTTCCTTACATTCAAATTAGAATTTTGGTTCTGCATCCTGTTTTTACTACTGCAGTTCAAATTCAGTTTTTTTTTTTTTAGTTGAAGGCAGTACATACAGTACATGGGGAAAAAAGTGGAATTTCTTTTCTTTTGTATACATCTGCCTATATTTCAGATCATTCATATGGCCCTGTATGGAGACAGACAGGAAACAGTATAGAGGATAGAGGAAGATGAGGATGAAGGTTGTGATGGTGATACACATATAGAGCAGAAGGAATATTAAAGCAGTGTGCTGGTGCAGTGAGTTGTGTAAAGCCCCCAGTGGTGGAGTGTTCTAGAAAGCACAGTTCTCATTGGCACCTCAGTGTGCACGGCATCTAAATGCGTTACACTAGACGGCTTTGCACAGAAACACTGTTTAACAGTCTCTGATTGGCCACGAGAGAGAATGAGTTAAAGGAGAAGGGTTAGACATGAACGTTTTAACTTGTACCAGATGTCTCGTTGTACCATTGGTAATAGCGGGAGGGAGAGGCTCGGTCATCAGAAATGTTTGATGTTTGAAAAATGTTACTGGATGAGTAAACACTGTTTTAAAGAGGTCACATTATAAAAAACATATTTTTTTGAACTAAAACAGTTTGATGAACTGTGTAGACATTTGCAATTCAGACCAGTTGTTGAAACTAGGCTCTAAAAACCTGTAATTTGAAAGCAGGTGTGTTAGTGGTTCATAGGTTAGTGAATTAGAAGTAATTTACGTATTTAAATCTTAAAGGTACAGTAACATAATTCAGAGGGAGGGTGGAAAAAATAATAATTTAAAACTAATTCACAGAGTTTTTATTTCCAGAAACTGACTGGTATTTGGTGTAACATGGTTTCAGTGCAAAACACTTTTGGGAGAATATGCTCTTTACGTTTACTGAGCCAATTGTTTCTTTCAAGTATCACCTTTGTCTTAGATGTTTCTTCTATCCTTGAGGAATAAAAAGTCAAATGGGCAAATCAAATTGTTAAATTGTACAGTAAATGTGTAAAGCTATAAAATGAATGTGGATAATATACCAGATTCTTTGGTCTTGGAAGTATTTGATGTGAAATATTTCAGTTCATAATGAGATCTTTGACCAGATTGTTGTGATCTCTTCTAAAACTCTAGAGGAGACATATGTGAGATTACTAGGTCTTTTTTTCAGGAGAAACATTTGAGGAGCAGGAGATAAAGTAAGTCTAAAGTCTATACACTTTAAAAAAAATAAAGGTTCCAAAAGAAGGTTTTCACAGGAATTCTGTAGAAGAAACATTTGATTTCCCTAAAGAACCTTTCAAAGAACCTCATTTTTTCTTTCACTCTTAAATATACCAAAAGGCAGTGATGCCATAGAAGAATGGTTTTTGGCTCCCCAAAGAACCTTTCAGTTCTCAAAAGAACATTATTTTATTAATGTGAAGAACATTTTAGTAATCTGAAAGACCTTTTTCCAATATAAAGAACCTTTTGTCCAATGGAAAGATTCCATGGATGGAATCCGAAAGGTTCTTCTTGGAACCCATCAATGCAAGCAAAGAAGCTTTATTTTTAAGAGCGTATTTAACCATTTTTTTTTCCCAGTAGAAAACCAAACCTTGAGACACGTCACTTACTTCAATCAATCTCTATCTATCACATCTCCATTTCAGCATTCTCTTGATCGAACTGTTCACATTACATTCTGTCAGCGTTCCGCCGCATGCCTCAGTCAGCACTGACATC